TACTTTGATGAGAAAATAGTCATCATAGAGAACCTAATTAAACCTAGAGATCTACACATATTTGACCCTTGCTTTCCTGCTTGTCCTTAAGGCAAAAACGATGTTATTGCACTTCTTTAAAATTCATTGACTCAGGCCATATGATGGATCCCATTTATGCTAATGTTTTAATGGCTACCTTTCTACTTTCTACTTATAGATTTTCTGCTCTCCTTCCTTGCTGGTTCTTTAAAACACAAGTATCCACAAGAGTCTCTATAACCTTTAAAAATTGGAAACATTTTGATTTTTCTTTAGTGCTTCTTCACTTTCCATTCATTGCTGAACGCCTGGTAATTTGTGTCAGTCCCTTCATACATACCTCAGACGTTGTACGTGCCATGGACACCAGCGGCTTCTGAGCTGCTAAATATCACGGGCATATTTCAGCCCTGATATCACCTCTCTGAAGCATTTGTCATTGCTACTCATCTTCTGTTTATTTATTCATTCATTCATTTACTTTGTTCTGTTTTGGTTTTAGTTTTATTATGGAGGATTTTGAATACACACACACACACACACACACACACACACACACACACATATATTGTATTTTAGGGAAGGGTCTACAGGGTGTTCAGGTCTCACTACTAAATCGGACTTGTAGTGATCTGCCTGTTTACAGCCTCCCAAGAGCTGGGATTACAGGCGTGCACCACTATGTCCAGTCTCAATTGCTGTGTCAGTGCGCCCCTGGGGCAGTGCCAGCATAGCAGGCCCAGGGATCCAACCCCTGTGTGCTTTAATCTGCTGAGCTATTTGGCCAGCTCTAAGATTTCAAATACAATGAGAAATAGGATAGGATCAGTCATCCAGCTGTGAATTATCACCACACGGCCAACCTTATTCACCTATTCTCACAAGTTCTCTCCTTTCTAAACAGCTTGCTTTGAGCAAATGCCTCACAGTATTTTCTGTAAATATTTCACTATGCATCTCTAAAGAGTAAAGCCACTTAAATTGATCATAGTATCATTATCATACCTAAAAATAGTAATTCACAAATATTGTCAAATGTACAGTCAGTATTTATATTTCTTTGCAGGCCTTCCAAATTTTTAAAATTGGTTGATTTAAACTGGATAAATCAAGATCTACATAAAAGCCATATTATGAGACTGGTTGAAATGTCTCAAGTTTTGTTTTGTTCTGTTTTGTCTTGCTATACAGTTTCTACTTCCACTTGATTTATTTTATTTTTTAGTTTTGTAAAACAAATGAAATCTGTTGTCCTAGGTTTTCTCTTTGTCTGGATTTGGTTGATTGCATACCTGTGGTGTTCCTTAGCATTTACCAGTTGTGTCTGCTATTGGTTCCAAATTCAGAGAACTGGAGGACTCTTAAAAGTCAGATATGGTTTTGTGGGCAAGGCTACTTTAAAGGTCTACTTCCATAATTACGAAGGTTATTTATCTTTTTACAGCAGTGTAAACCACTGTTAAGGTTTGACTTTAGACATCCCCACAAAGTCTCCTGTGGTGGGGCTTTTTCAGCAGCAGCTGGGTCTAGTGTGTGATTGACACATGGTGCCTGCTAGGACTAATGGAGTGAGTGCTATGTGACCTAAGGGCAGGTAACGTGGGCACAATATAAGAGCCAGGGAGAGGCCTGCCTGCTGCTAACTAGTTACGTGCAGCTTGTCCCTTCCTGGCTTTGCTGCCTTCTGCCTACTGTGAGTTCTTTCTCCTCTCTGATGCCCCTCTTGCAAAGCCCCCCTTCCTTGAAGCTGGATAAACCTTTCGTCCTTTAACTTTGGTTGTCAGGTATTTTGTTGCAGCAACAAGCAAAGTAACTAGGAAACCATGATCACTGTTTAAACCATTAGGGGTTGCAAGGTGATGATACCCTCATTTTATCATATCTTTTTCCTTCATTAGCCAGAGTATTTTCATAAAGAAAAACTTATTGTCATTCTTTAGTAATAAGTTAGAAAAGAACAGATTCCTTCCTTTACTTTTTGGTTTTCAAAATAATGAGTTGGTTTGCCTGGTATTTTCCAAAGGTAGGTAAAGAAGGGTTTTTTTGTTTGTTTGCTTGTTTGTTTGTTTGTTTGTTTATTTCCTTCAGTATCATTATGAACCCATGAAACTACTGCCTTTGTTGATGTTCTGGAAAGCAGAAGCTTAATTAATTTGGCTTTCTAATCTTTGGACAAAAACTTTCTAATATTGCGTATCTTCTGTTGTGAAAAATATAGTAGGTACAAAATTTTATACATTTCCAGCCCTGGACTTAGACTCAGTGATTTCTCTAGGGATTTATTGTTAGTAGAACCTTCTGAACTGTAGAATGTACTACTATTATATTGATCATTGCTTCTAGATCCTTTTTGGCAAGTAGAATAGTGAATGCTTCTGTCTTTTGGGTTTGAAGACGTTATACACATGAATTCTTACTGCTACTTCCAACTCAAATTCAGGATCACTATAGAACAATTACTGAACTTTGTATCTCCTTTCAGTCAACTTTATAATTTCGGTTCTCGATGACGCCAACATTGTTATTAATTTATTTTGCAATGCAGACAGACTTCTAGCCATGAGTACTAGAAGTATCTTACCTTTTTTATTGTTGCTTTTGCTTTCAGTCCTAGATATATATTCCGTTAGGAATATATGCTCAAAATATTTTCGTAGAGTTTAAAAGTCACTTTAAACCATTCCTTACTGTAAGGTTTTGTCACCAATGTTAACCATAGTGTTACGTTTTGTGTCTAGGAGTCCCCCCAAAACCTCATGCAGTCATGGGTTGGACTTCTAGACTTTGTGAGTAAGTCATGATCCAGTGCTGGGATTGTGGGTGAGGGTGCTGCACCCGGCCTGGGGTGGATAACCTGAAGGGAACATGAGGGAGAGAGACTCACTCTCTGTTGCCTAATGCTTCCTCTTTGCTTTTTGCTCTTTTCTACCACCATGAACTGCTGCCCTCTGCCACGTGCCTCTCTGCCTTGGAGCCAGCTGAGTATGGACTGAAACCTGCACTAACTGTGGCTAAATAAACCTTTCCTTCCTTCATTTTGGGTGTTGGTTACTTTGTCCCAGCAACAAAAGAAAATTGACCGAGACACATAGTAAAAGTGACTCATTTATGTTACTTTAAATTTTTGTAGGAACTAATTTTAAATTTAAATTGTTTTATAACAACATAAAATATTTGTATGGCCCAAATGTGGACAAGGTATATTCCAAGAAACCTGGTTATCGTCTCTGCTTTTTTCTGCTTCTTGCTTCCCTATTAAGTACTTTCTGTGCTATCCTTCTTGTTTTTAAAACTATATAAACACAATTCTAAACAATGACAAAATACTATTTGTATTTCTTTCCACTTAGCTTTTCTAATTTAAAATATACATTAGAGATAATTCCATAATAGTACTGGAAAGTCTTTTTTTCTATTTGGATTCATATAACATCCTACTGATGGAGACTTTTGTGTTATTTTTAGCCATATTGCTATTCCAATAACCTTTTACTGCATAGATTTTTGCATACACCCTGTTCTATTTTGGATAGTATGTCTTTAGCATAGATTCTGAGAAGCAGGAATTGCTCTGTTAAAGCACATAGTGTTTCTAAATGTTTCCAGATTCCTCCATAGTGTCTACCACTTTGCATCACCAGTGTGATGCAAAAAATGTTTTTTTCTTTTTCTTTTTGCAGTGCCAGGGATTGAACTCAGAACCTTGCACTTGCCAGGCAAGCACTTACTTCACTGAGCTATCCCCCCAGCCCTCCAGTATTAACATTTGAAAATGGCTGGCTACTTTCAGTCTTATCCCAGAATATTCTATTAAATTTTTAGATTTTTTTTTGTCAACCTGATACAAATGAATTTCTCAGGTTGGTTTTAAATTGAATGTTTATTATAAAGGAGAATGTACATCTTTTCATACAGTTAAGATCTGGTTCAGCCCTCTTGACATCATCTTCTCCATTTTTATCCATGGGGCCAAATAAAACTCTATTTTTTCCCCTTATTCCTTGAGTTATTTTTCAGTCTACTTTTTTCCTCTTTATTTTCTAAACCTTCCTTCTTTTCTAGACCAAGTCTTGCTGTTTCTTCAAAAATCCCTTCTTTTGACTTTCCTTGTTGTTATCATTGCCCCTCTGACAGCTACTCACTTCACATCCCCAGCCCAGAGCTCTCTTTCCTCTTCTATCCCACTTAGCAAGCTACCCAGGGAGGTTGTGAAGTGTTCCTCCCAGGTACCTTGAACTCAACATCTGTGAAGCTCTTTCTTACCACCCCTTCCTCTAGTATTCTCTGGTGCAGTGAAAGCCATCACAAATTGCTTGAGTCCTTCTCACACCTTATTCCCATAAAATCAACCACCAGTTTCTGTGGCTTTTACCTCTTAAATGGCCCTTAACTCCATCTGTTTCTTTCTGTACCAAACTACTGGTCTAAGCTGCTATCAGATCTTCCCTGGATCACCATACTTTTCTTTGTCTTTATTTTTTCTCTCAAATACCACCCAAATTATCTTTCAAACAGAATATGCAGCTATTTACCAGCTTAAAAATCTCCAAAAGTTAAAAACATCAGTGAACAAAAACAACAACAAAATGAAAATCCAAATGATAAAACAAAGAACTCCAGTCCCAAAGTTTAATTTTCCATAGGTGTTCATGTAAGTAAATGATACAAAGCTCCAGGAGGTTGACACGTGAGTTAGTATTGAAGAAGGCCTGCCAACATTAACTAAATCATTAGATTTTTTTTAAACCATCAGACAATTTTTGAGTATTATTTATATATTCAAAAAAAATGGCTGGATTAACAAAGTAGGTCTTAGTTGGGCTGGGCAGAAGGAGCTCAGCAACTGGTTCTATAAATCCCCAGGACCACATCCTATGGGAAAGCCCTCATGTACAACTGGTCCCTACAACTCCCCAGGAAATAAAGAACCACACTGTCCCCCTATATTGTACTGGAAATTTGGATCAAGGTATCCTTACCTTTGTAGTCCACAGTTTGACAGTCCAGTCAAATGACGAGGTGACAAACAGGTGAGAAAAGTCAATGGGACCCACTGCCATGTGGCAGTTAATTCCTGTCACTGGCCCTTGGTGGCCTTCGAAGACCTCACCAATGCCTGCTTTGCTGCATGAAGAACAAAGATGAGCAGGATTTCAGTGGCCTTTACAATGAATTGTGATTTAACAATTTCATTTCTGCAGGATCACTTTTTCAGAAGTTTTTAGAACAACAACAGCAGTACACTACTAAACATGAAGTCATTTTCAGTTATTTTGATTGAAAGATACTAGCTAGTATTACTTTGGAGGAGTACAAAACAGTACATGGAAGGATAACCATTTTAGGCTTCAGAATTCTGTAATAAATTTTATTACTTAACCCTTTTTCAGGAGTTTCTCAAATCCTATTGTTTTTGTCTTTTATCTTTTTGAGACAGAGTCTCACTGTGCAATTTAGACTAGCCTTGAAGTCACTTTATAGTCCAGGCTGGCCTTGAACTCACAAGGATCCTCCTGCCTCAACCTTCTTAGTGCTGAGATTACAGGCATACAAAACCACATGTGCACCACCTCTGTTGATGTAGCTAATTTGATGAAAATAACTACCTGTAGACCTCAGAAACCTTCCTATTTATGATGATACTACTGTAAGTTTAAAATGGAATTTTGTGCATATTCAATTTTAGCTCATTTTCTGGAGTCTATTGGCTATAAAATACTATCCATTGTGAAGGCGTAATCATTTATTATTTAAAGGAAATTTCTTATATTAAATTGACATTTTTACTTATCTAAAAAGGTAGAAATTTGTAAAAAAAAAAAAGTCTTTGTTAAGCCAAACTACTTACATAATCTAAACATAAAAAGGAGAGAAAAATCATGTTTTCATGCTAATGAGAATAGAAGATGGATTTACAGGTATATTTTGTAAATTCTGAAAGGGAAGGTTTCTTGCCTTTCTTGTTGCCAAATGTCGAGAATAAAGAAAGTGCTCAATAAATATTTGCTGAATGAAACAGCAAAGAAAAAGAGATAAAATTATAATTGTAAAACATTTATGCTTTTTAAAATCAAAGCACATTGGAGAAAGGGCAATACACATTTTAAAAATTATCCCCAGACATATTTTCCTCATTTTTCTAAACTGGGATCATTTCCAGCCCTTTATTATCATATAATAGTCTGTATGTGATCATATACAATTAGGAAAATCAGAGAAAATACACCCAAAATACTATATTTAAAAAATATTCATGTGCAAGAGGTCATAAATATGACAAATATGTAGGGATTGTGGAATCTCAGTATTATGTCACTAAGGGTAAAATAGGCTCAGTGACATCTGCTCCTCTGGAGCACCAATAAATGTCAGTGTACTGAGTAAAATTTGGAATCACAAGCAAAGTGCTGCAGCATGTGTCCCATATAACAGGCACTGAAAAATTATGCTCAGAGAAACTGCTAACAGCAGTACCACATGTGATCATGTAAATTGGTTCTAATGAACACGAGGAAGTGATCTTTGAAGTGGCCCCTGGTGAGACTCCACTTGCTCTTAACAGCATCCTGAAAGACTTTATAGGGTGCAAAATGAGGACCTTGTTTAATTTATGGAAGTGGATTTGCACCTTCTCTAGGTTGGGTGAAAAATAGAAATCCCCCACCCCTCCCCTATAGCTGTCGATGACCCATTTACAGTTACTACACAGTCAATGCCTGCTACCTTATGACGTTACCAAGATCTAGAGTTAGTATCTCATAAGGATAGGCTCATGCAAAGAGTGAAATCAAGTTTGTTATAAAAAGATTTGGGGTGTGTCCCATGAGGACTTTTCATTTTAACCAACAACGTATACTTCGGTTGTCTTTGAAAAGGACAATAGCGACAGAATAAATATACGTATATTCATCATGTCAAAGGTTATTTACATTAGAGAAGCTAAAACTACTCTGAAAAAACTCAATGGACATGTTGTATAGCTTTCACAGATAAGGTCCTAGGTAATACCCTGGATTAAGTTCAAGCACTTCCTGCCCTGCTGACATGCATGTCTGGGCTGATCTGCGACTCCAAGTTTGTCCCACTGTGCTCTCTGTACCTTACATACACAAATGATGCCCTACTTATGCTACAGACATTGGTGCATTTTTCTTTCACACTGGCATCAGTTAAACAGGAGCCTAGTTTCAATGATACCTGGATGACTCATAGCATCTAGCAATACACTCTACCCGAACAAGTTTGTGTGCCTCATATGTTTGCATGAATGAATACTTTATCAGATTTTTTTTAATGCATTGATGAGAAACCTTTAATGTTTTGTTCAGCCAGATTTTGTGTTGTAGGCATATTGGACATAGAACAGTGAAGCATAATTCCTTCAGTCATATTTAAATCATGTCTGCAGGGCAAAGACCACTTCCTTAGCAGAACAGTAGAAACAGCACATCTCTTATTTAAATGGAGAAAATTAAGTAGCTTAACCATGGATATTTGTTACTTCTAAAAATCACAAAAACAAAGAAATATGAACCTGGAGTTATTTGTGTTTCTCCATTAAATCTACATAGGCTGGGAGGAGTACAAGAGAGGAATGAAATCAACTCCACAAGAACTACAAAGGAAAGAGAAATTAAGCATCAGGGTGAACATCGTGGTCCTTTCACAAGGAGGCTGAGTCCACCTGTGAAGTTTTGCATGTAACTTTACAGTCCAGCCTAAATGATCAGAATCGACCTTATTTGGATGGTTCTGTTTTCCAGAGGCACCTGCCAACCTCTCAGACAAGGGAAGATTCTGCCCCCTGGAAACTGCATGACGGTCGGAGATCTCCTACTGTTCTAGCCATTCAAACTATGCAGAAGGATATCAAAGAACCCACCTGTATTATTTAGATTTTTGCTATTTCTTTATTCCCTGTGCTGTATAGATTTTTAGGTCTTTATTTACTATGTTCCAAATACTGGCTAGGGAGTCAAAGATGAAATGTAAGTAGTTTAACAAGAGAAAAAGTGGTAGCAAGTGAATCACCGAAATGTGATCGATAGTATAGCATAGGAGAATAAACCTGATACCCGATAGCCCTATTCTACTTTAATTTTCTCTATTATTTATCATCTTAAACTATAGATTTACTTTCTTATTAGTCTTTTACCCTTAACTAGAGCATGAAGTCTGTATCAGTTCTGTTCCTTTCTGTATTCTTATAAAAGTGTCTGACACAGGGATGAGTCTCAACAAATATTCCTAGAAAGAATGAACAAAAGGAAAGAAAAGTCTATGGGACAGGGGCTGGGAATATAGCTCCATGGCACAGTATCTGCCTGGCAAGCACAAGGTCCTGAGTTCAATCTCTGGTATCAGAAAAAAACAAAAACAAAAAACAAACAAACAAACAAACAAAAAACCCCAACAAAAAACAGCCTACAGGACCTGAAGGAGGGCATGGTTTTCTTTGTCCAAGAGATTAAAAAAAGGCTCAATGTGGGATGATCTCTGTGCTGACTTTGTAATAAAGGGGAATTAGTCAAGTAGAGAAGAGAGAAATAAGGGGCCAAGTAGAGGAAACTGAAGGTGTGAGCTCACAGAGGCTGGGCTGGGCACACAGGCGATGTCACAGGATGTTGGTCCCCTATAGGCACGTGGCTGGAACTTGGAGGTATGTGCCCAAGATGAGGCTGAGAAGTGGCAGATAGTGTGAAGGATCAACTAAGAAGTGTGGGTAATTTCTCTCAAGGCAGTGTAAACCACCAAAGACAGAAGCGACTAAGGCCCCGAGCCTCTGTGTGCTCTAAGTTCATGAAGCCTTGAGGCGTGCTTTGCATTTGTTCCTAAATACCTTTCTTCTCCTGTAAGGCGTTTATAATCTAGAGCATCACAACAGACTTTCGGAAGTGAGGATCATGTCATCAGCAAGAAAAGAGAAAAATCACCTTCCATGACGACAGGCTGTGTAGACTGTACCCTCCTCGCTGCCGACCACGAAGTTATTGACATCTCCCGTGGGGAAGGCCATTCCGGTAACAGCAACAGGCTTGGACTTATTGTACACCAGCTCCATGCTCTCCTAGGAAAACACGGTGTGGTTACATTTCCATCTGTCAACTCCTCTCCATGCCAAAGACAGCATGGAAAAATCATTTGGCTACAACGTCTGTTTGCTTTTCACACAGCGTTACAAAAGACCCTGGCTGTGCCAGAAACCACGCTGTAGTGCTCCTGACATTCACACGGCTGTGGATCTCTGGTTTCAGGCTGGCTGGATTTCATCAGCATGTGCTGCTGCTTCCCAAGTCAGGCAGAGATGACAGGTGAGAGTCTTGGAACTAATGGTGCAGAAACTATAGATAATGCTCTAATGATTACACTTGTCAGCCCCAGGCTTTAATAAAACACACAATACCCGTGTATTTACAAACATTTTCAAAATCAATTGTTCGTGAGGATGCACATGTATTAATATCAGATGTACAAGCGCATTTGTCAAGGGAGGACTGTGGGTCCTCCATGGACTGAAACCAGAAAATTGTCACTCATGTTGTAAAAACCAGATTTTAAGTCTGAGAACTAGAGTTCGGGAAGGGCAGCCTTCATGGTGGGTATGCGGTCTACTGGTGTGCAAATAGTGAAGTTTAAGTATTTAAAATGGCACACAAGAGTCCTGCATTTTATATAAAATATTTTTTAAAGGTAGGTACTAGAGAATATTTTCTTTTATTATTATTTTTTTTCTGTATTTAGGGAAGGGTCTACAGGGTGTTCAGGGTTTCACTACATAGATCAGAGTTGTAGTGATTCTCCTGTTTTCAGCCTCCCAAGTGCTGGGATTACAGGTGTGTGCCACCATGTCCAGTCTTAATCACTGTCTCAGTGTGCCCAGGGGGTCGGGCTGGCACAGCAGGCCTGGGGATCCAACACCCAGCCCCTGAGTCTGCCTAAGCAGGCACTTTAATCTGCTGAGCTATTTGGCCAGCCCTACCAGAAGGTTTTTTTTTTTTTTTTGTTGTTGTTGTTGTTTGTTTGTTTGTTTTTTTGCAGAACTGAGGATTGACCTCAGACCCTTGTGCTGTCCAGGAAAGCACTTATTCTACTGAGCCATCTCCCTGGCCCCCTACGAGAATATTTTAAAAGACATACTGATGAGTTAAGTTTAATGTCAGTGAGAATACTTAAACGTAAGAGAGTTATCAAGTATTTCTGGCTATATATAGGAAGCAGCCTACATTGTGCCTCTGAAATAATTTTGAGAAAGCACTCTGGGGTGTTACATCATGGCAGTTGCTTGAAAGTTCAGTGGCTCCCACGCAAACAAACAAGGCTTTTTTGGCCATGGGGTCCATAATTGGGGAATGTGCTCTGCCAGGATGGGCCCCACAGACCGTGTGGTCATGTCCAGGGTCCCTGTAAGGTCCACACTAGCAAGCAGGTTGGTGTCCAGGCTAAAGGAGATGGCGCTGTGGCCATATATGACAGTGAAGTGGCTCAGAGATGGTCTTCCCCATCTCTAAAGTCAGCCATGGGCTGGGGATGTAGCTCAGTGGCACCACAGAGCCTGCCTATCAAGCACAAAGTCCTGAGTTCAATTCCCGACACTGGAAGAAAAATCAAACAAACAAAAAGCAACTAGCCTGGCATGGTGGGGCGCTCCTGTAATCCTAGCACTTGGGAGGATGAGGAAGGAAGATTGCTGTGTGTTTCAGACCAGCCGGGCTACAAAGTGAGTTCCAGGCCAGTCTGAACTGCATAGAGAGACCCCATCTCAAAAAGACAATAAATAAACAAATAAGATCAAATGAAAATAAAGTCAGCAGCAACTTCCACTGGGCAGGGAGAGAAGAGGGTGGCTGGGGGCCCCCTGCCCTGCTTCTTCTACTCCAGGCCATCCATGGAGACCATGCCACAAATTGTTTCTGGGCAGAGACAGGCATCTGGGGGCGTCTTAACATTAATAAAAATGATCTTGGAGCCTGTACCACTGGTTTCAACCTAAACAAATGCATGTTTAATCAGCAAAATGGGCAATTAAAAATTCCTACATAGAAGGTCTGCTCTTATATCTGTTTATAATCTCCATGCTTTTAAAAGCAAACAAGACATTGCTTAAAATTGTAAGACAAAACCATAAAATGCCCACACACAACTCCAGATCTGTATGCTAAAAATCAACTCAAACAGAGGAACTGAAGTTGAAAATGGTGTGTTAGCCCTCTCCTTTATTCCCACTAAGATTATATAAAAAATTAATTAGTTTTAGTATTCTCTTACCTGGTCTCTTTTTGAGGGGAGGGGCAAGTACAGGGAATTGAGCTCGGGACCTTGTGCTTGCTGGGCTACCTCCCTGGCCCCGATTTAGAATCATCTACATTTTGCAGAAATTTAAAGGAGCTTCTTTACATCCTCCAGATTTCCTTACACATGTGTCAATTTTGATGTCTTTTTAAATAGAGCGAGAGACAATCTAGAGTTGTGATTCCAGGAAAGGGAGAGGGAATGTTAAAGTTAAGAATTATCTTCTAGAGGTGTGTCATAAGTTTTTGGATGCTTGCTCATATTTTTGTCAATGAACCGTTCATAGTTTTTAGGGTCTTTTTTGTGGGAACTGAGAATCAAATTCAAGACCTGGAGCTTGCCAGGCAGGTGCCATGCCACTGAGCTATCTCCCTGGCCCTCTCCATAGTGTTTAGTTGGATAGAGAAGTACTTCTTTTTACACAGAGAAATGTGAAAAAGTGTGTGCGTGTGTGTGTGTGTGTGTGTGTGTGTGTGTGTGTGCACATATGTATCCTAAAAGTTGATTCTCCTTTGCTTCGGCTCCTTGATTGGCTTCCATTACTGCAATCAGTAGTGGTTTGGAAATATCCGAGGTTTTTATTTCCCACTTCACATTTATTAAGCAAGGAAGGGCAAGAGCCACATTAGCAGACATTCCAGAGGGGAAAACAGATCTTTTAAATTCTTCATGCATGCAGCCCTTGTGTGGCTACAAGTGAGGGGCAGAATTTCTGTTTTGTTAGGGTGCCTTTTCCTCCAAGGCAAGAACACACGGGGTCTGCTTTACTGAGGCCCACCCTCATTTGTGTTTGTTCCACAACACAAGTCCTACCATAGGCAACTTCCCTAATTACTGTGCTTTAAAATGGATTATTTCATTACTATTTGAAATCGACCTGAGGATTAGTGTATTATTCCATGATTTGCAATGTAGGAAATGGGTTTTGGCTTCAACAGTAGACTGCTGAAACCAGGCCCTCTCTTTCAAGGCACCCATGGGCTTAGCCTTCTGTAGGATGTGGGGATTCAGCTTCTCTGAAGGGTTCTCAGCAGGTGTCTCTTTTCAGCAGCATGTCCATATGTGTAAGGCAAAACAAGCCCACCTGTGGAGTCGACAGCATGTCCAGGCTCCAGGAGCACATTTTCCCATCGGTGGAGACAGTGATGAGGTTATGAGCATTCTGGGTCCCGACAACATTGACACAGTAGACCGGGTGCTGCAGGAAACATCGACAAGGAGGATCAGGCACAGCACCATCAGGACGCAACTGCATCTGGTGTCAGCAACATGACTCTGGAACGAGGCTTAAAGATGATATACTCTACTAGAATACAAGCCTCTGGTCATTTGAGGTTGTTTTTTTTTTTTTTTTTTTTTTTTTTTTTTTTTTTGTTTTTTTTTTTCAGAACTGGGGATTGAACTCAGGCCCTTGCGCTTGCCAGGGAAGCGCTTATTCCACTGAGCCATCGCCCCAGCCCAATTTGAGGTTTTTGATTTGAGCTTTATTTCCTCAACTCTCTGGTGGCAGCACACAGTAATGGACCTACGTACAGAGCCTCACCTTGTTCCAACAAACGCAGTGCAACAGAATGGAAGGAAGGTGAGAGTGGATGGGGCAGAGGTGAAGCTGGATTACGTAAGCCCCGCCACACATTAGTTTCTAAGTTCTACACAAGTGATGAGCAAAGACAGTCTTCCAAGGGGTGGAACCAATGAATGCTGGAAGACATGTGTCCCTAAATCTGGAGTCTGATGAACTGTAGTCACCATCCCAAACATTTAGTAACTTTTTTATTAAAGTGCTTAATAGTCACCTGGCTTTTTAATTGAGGTGAAGATATTGGTGGTGAAATTATTGGCACAATGGGCTTAGTGAGATAAAATTAGGTTCTGATGTATTATTGCAAAATATAGGATAATGATAGATTTATTTTTTTCAAAATACCATCTGGTGTAAGTATGGCCACAGTCTTAAGGAAGGTCATTTATCCCCCCCTGAAAGCCAGAAGCAAGCTGCTGTATCTAGCCTTCTGTCATAACCTTAGTAACTTATCCCATGTGGTGGAATTCTACGTGGTAGTCTAAAACCATTTGCAGCTGCGCACGAAACACTCAATGGGAGGTTAGCCTATGCAGAACCGAGCAGCAATTTGGGTTAGATTTTAGGCAGCTGAGTCATGAGTGGCCAAACCACAACTTATTTGATGCTTCTCTGTGTAAATAGCTAATAGTCTGTTTAACTCCTGATGAGTTACTGTCCATAATACCTAGCCACAACTACAATGAAACAATCTTCAATACTGGAAAGCCAGTATTATATAAAGGAAGGTTCCCAGACTGTGATTATCATATAAACTCCTGGTCAGAAAAAGTAGCAATGATCAGCTAGCGAAGCTGCCCAGCTGCTGCATACAGGAAGTGGCCTAAACCCTGATTAAACACCTTTCTTAAAGGGCCCCTAGTTTTAGTGCTAAATCCTGGATAGCTTCTCCTTCCACTAACAGGGGTTTTTAAAAGTTCATGGAGATATATAGGTCAAGTCTGTAAGATAAGATCCCTACTATATGGATTTTTTTCTGGTACTGGGCATTGACCGGAAGTCCTCGTACATGTTAGGCAAGTACTCTACTGAGCTACATCCCCACACCTTTTTATTTTGAGACAGGGTCTCACTAAGTCACTAAATTCTATTCATAATGCTCTTCTCCAAGTCTTCGATATTGAAAACCCTAAAGCAGTATGAAGTCGAACTTAAGCCAACTTGCTCACCTCTATGTGGATACCAAATAGGAAAATGGATGTAACAGATTTTTACCTAAAACAGCAGACTTAGTAACTTACTAACTAGAGTGACATTGATTAATATTCAAGAAACTGCCTGGTTTTGACTTGATCTATGTTATCCCAGAAGCCACTGCACTAAATTCAACTTTCCTTCTCCTATGAGTGGAAAGCATGGGACAGACATTGTTGTGAGTCTGAACTCTGTTTTTCTGCAAGAGTCCAGTGGGGCCTCTCTATGAACCATCAAGTCTCTACACAAATAACCAAAGTCTCAAGGATCAAGACCTCCAAGGGTGCAATAGGGACAGAAGCCAACTTTAGAAAAATGTATAAAGCAAAGGTCCAGAGGAGGAATGTGTTCAGTAGCCCCTACAGGTTTTAAACAGTACCTTGAGGCTATCCTTTTATGAGTAATAAAATGCATAAAAGCAAAGAGAAAGAGAGAGAGAGAGAGAGAGACCTAGATACGTAGAGAAGCAGACATCAGAGTATGCCTAGTCAAGGACCTGCACACATACACAACTCCACTTAATGGAAAAGCAAAAAAAAAAAAAAAAAAAAAAAAAAAAAAGAGCAAGCAACAGTACCTCTCATTTTCCAGTATAGATACCAGATTGTTTTTATTTATTTTAGGAATAAACTTACTGTGTGGCAGAAGGATTTTGTTTTAATTATGATTTCCTGTTGTCCCAAATACATATGTGTGGTGGGTGTGAAAGGAAATTAGTGAGTGATCTGTGGCGGCCCCTTTTCCTTTTTGATCTTGCCTCTAATCATCCAGGCAACAGTAGAAGAGGAAAGATGATTGCAAAATTGCCTGCACATCTAGCTATGCATTGGACAAAACTCAGCAAGAAACGAAAAAAGAAACTTGTTTTTGTTTGGTTTCTAACAGAAATAATGCCTCTCAGTTTGATAATAATAGTATTTTTGATGTGATGATCACACTCTAAGTTCTTGAGGGGGGAAAAAGTTAACTCTTTGGAAGAACTCCCAGATGTGGATTTTCCCCAAAATCTTACTGCTAAGTGTTCTAGAATTTGTGTCTATAATCTTTGAAATTTCAGCAGGTATGTTCACATATGTAACAGCCATGTACACAGAGCCAAGAAATGGTTTCATGCTGCTAGAGAAAACACCTGCGTGGAGCCTTCTTCTCCTGGGCCATGATTTTCTGTTATTAGTTGGAGAAATGGGAGGGAGACAAGAGCAATTTCTGAAGATTCCCAAGCGCTAGTTTCACTGGCATGTGTCTTTGGCCCGATCAATCAAAAATTAGGACTGACATTGTATTTATCGTTTACTATCATCAAACTTAGGAGAGCGGAAGGCTTTTCCTCGTGCTCTAAGCTAAAACAGCAAGCAAACCTTTTCCAAGGCAGAGTGGGTTTGAGGACAGGAGATGAAACAAATGAAGCAACCCCATTAGGGAAATTAAAAACAATAGCAGAGCCATATCCTTGGGCATAATTTGGGCATTTCAGAGAGAACATCAGCTCCTCTGAACATCAAGGTGGTAGGAATTGATGGAGACATGTCTGTCTTTTCATTCCTCCAAACAATTGCTCCACACACCTGTCATTCTCTTAAAGGAAATGACAGAGCAGTTGTCTTATGAACATTATACTGAACCTCTTCTACTAAATTATGGGTAATGGTTTTGAGATGTTGACTCTTAACCCTGGGGATTATATTGTCACTGTAGACTTTGTATTGAGACTCCCACCACGCATTCCTGAATTTAAAGACATATGTATAACTTCTTGAATCACAAATGGGAATGGTTTGTTGGCAAATGTCTCATTTAATATCTCTAGATACAAAGTTCTTACTCCTCATGGCCTAGTTGAAAAATATTTGTTTCACTTGGTAATGTAGGTAGGAAAGACTGCTTCAGACAAATATTTGCAAAGATAACTCTTCTAAAGTTTCTCTGTGTATACTTTCACAGTTTTAGCCCTCTTCCTTGGGGGCCTTTTCTACATGCTAGAACTTGCAGATGCAGAGCTGTCTCTAACATCACTGCTTCCTTTCTTTTTCACTCAGCAATATTTTAGGCAGTCAGGATACCAGCACTATAAACTGGAGATCCTCCACACTTAGCATGGTTGGCTATGTCCATACTTTGCGAATTGAACCATCTTATCTCCAGAGTTTGGGTGACTGACAGAGATGTGACAATAACTGGACTTACTGTGTGTGCAGCAGCTGACAAGGGTGTCCTCTGCACAGGCGTCCTTCGATGACTGCGATTGTCCCACAGGACAATCTGGCCCGAGTATGTCCCACCAACTACCAAATTAGGATGAAAACGGGCAAAGCAGACAGACATCACAGAGGACTGTGAGGATAAAAGAGACACGCCATGAAATGACTGTAGAACAGGCCACTATCTCTTCTTTTTTCCTAAAGAGAAAAAAATTCATCACATAAACTCAGTATATCTTGGAAAACATAAAACAACTGAAATTTGGTATTGTAAGATGCATAGTTACTAGGCAATTTTGTACACAGACGCAGGACTTTCTCTGTAGAGGTCAGCCAATGGTTTACCCCTTGAAATCTGAAATTTGAAATCCTGGTCATATCATCAAATAGGCATAAAACCTATCTTAAGTACATCATTGATTTGTGGGCTGTAGAATTTGCTTTATGGACATTTCTCATTCCTCAAATAAAATTACAACAGAACTAAATTAATTCTCCACTGAAGTCTTTACACAGCAATTCTTTCCTTTCAGTGTGACCACATGAAGTTAAACTTTGTGCAGTGCTGGTAAATACAGAGTCATTATAAATGCAAGCACTTTAGGATGGGATGTTTTCAAACTTTGTCTTTGGTCTTATGTAGATTTCTAGGAAGTATACTGACCTCAGACTGATCCAACTGAGTCTTCCCAAAATATCCTCATTCCTGTGAACATTCTCCCAGACTTTCATTCTGCCCACTTCAAATAATTCTTAATGTTATCCTTTGCCTATTTTAACCAGCAACCTGAAATGGATTTCAGTCCAGCCCTGCCAAGGTTTCCTATTGCATCACAAATGTGGTTTCTGAAATTCCACAAATACTAGGTGCTACCTTTTGTTTGAAGTCACTTAGCTCATGTCCTTAAAATCAGACAAGTTATCATCCCTCATCCGCAAAGTCTTATTTGATTTCTGAAGTACCATCCATATTTGCATTTATAAGTTGACTTGTATTTAATAAACACATTCCATTTCTTCAGTTAAATTCCTCCAAGAATGGTCACAGAGAACATACTATGGGTAAGAAGGGCATTATACCAAAAATGGTGGGAAGCCAAAGGTAGACAGCGCCCCTAACAAACTCCCACTTTGGTAAGGAGAACTGCAGAAGCACATAAGCGCATGAGCAGAGCTGTTGCTACTCAACACATTGCCTTTGAGTGAAAAAGAAGACAGTGCCACTTAGAACGGACATGCTCATATGGGCAGAAGCATGCCTCAGCAATTGGAGGGAACACAGCTTTCCATCCCTACTTATTCCTTGGGATCGCCATCCTTGTGAGGACCCAACTTGACACCACAGTAGCAGTTTTGAGCACAACACATGACCAACTAAATCAGAGGAGCCTGTGTGTTTGTCCCCATGTGAATGCAGCAAACGAGCTAAGAGGACATGCCTTAAAAGGCTTCATGGAAGGGACGTATTCGACCTAGAAGTCCTGTGGAACATTCAGCAAGAAGAAGAAAGGATAGAGGCAGGCATTTCTGAGAGATGAGATAGCAGGAAGGAATAAGACAGACTGGTGAATGACCCACAGTGTTATCTGTCTGGGAACCGTCCAGGCTGGAGGAGGCAGTTGGGGGATAAGGCTGAAATGGACTGCGGAGACAGACATGAGAAGCTCTTGAATGGTACTATTTGGAATTTTTTTCTCTGGACCATGGTAAGAAATCACAACTTTCTGGTCAAGCAAGTATGTGAGTTGTAACCCATAAGCCAAAAAATTAATGATTGAAGAAAAAATTATGAAATTTCTTTGAGACTGGCAGGCTGAAAGAAGAGTCCTTTAAAAAAATTTCTTTTAAAAAAAACCAAAACAGATCTACTATCACCCTTAGAATTTTGTACTCAGAAACAGCCGGGGTACTCTGTAAAGAACGCAGACTATTTTTCAATGTCATGTTTTCCTAGTTTGAATGATTTTCAGTTCCAATTCCATGAACAAGATTCGATGGAGAACATGCCTGTGCCCCAATCTGGTTTTCATAAAGTTCAAGAATAACTCTCAATAATAACAGTGAATTAAAGAAGAAGAAAATAATGCTGGTCAGCTTCTTGTTTTACACATCCCGCAGAAATGATTCGTAGTTCTCAAGTGATGAAATTCTTATGTTGCTTGAGCTATGTTGGTCTTTTTAAAAAAACCTTCAGAAAGACTTAAAATTATCCAGGTGGCATCAACAATTGAATTTACCAAAGCTCAAATCAATATGGATAAAAGAATGTCATTCAACTGGAAAAATCCAGAATGCAGCCACTTGATTGCTTCTGTGTTTCAGCTAAATCCCAGCAAATGCTCCTCTAAATCTTACCCAGTTTGTTGAGAGACTAAATTGGAGAAAACAGAGGAGTGTCTATGAAACTGGAACTTAAGTTGGTCATCAATTAGACCCTAACTCCACAAGGTGAGGGTGCTATTACTTACTTGTTTATTCATTTGTTCCATCTTCATTCGTATCAAGCACTGATCATGAAGGATTACTAAGCCATTTAAAAATTTTTCAAATGTCACCAAAGCCTCTTCATCTGGAATTCATAATTCTATTTAAATTTGCTAAACTGTCAAATTAATGCCTACGAAAGAATAAAATCATCCTTGGGCACTGCATTCTATCACCAGAATCTGCTTTGTTTTCCTGAAAACCAATTTTTGTAATACTTTCATGATGAAAAAGAGTATAACTGTTTATTTTCATTTTATATTTGTAACATGGAATACAATTATGTCCATTAATTTCATTTATATTTTAAGTTTGGCATACTAATACATGTACTATGACTATATCTAAATATATATTGTATAAACATCCTATATATAAGTAGGTATATAGAATATTTATACAAATATATACATAGAAATTCAACACATATCTCCAGAGACTGACACACTTGACATCATCATTCATATGGAAATAATGGGGGCTGCGGAGATGGCTCAGTAGAATAAGCGCTTGCCTGGCAAGCGCAAGGGCCTGAGTTCAATCCCCGGTTCTGCCAAAATAAATAAATAAAAGTTCAATGGAAATAATGAATGCCTTAGATATAAAGTTTAGAATAAGTTCATTTCTTGAGATAGTTTTAAGTACCTCGATTTTTGATACAATAGTGGCAAATATGTTGATGATTGACTTAATTTTTTATTTTTCATCCAAATGTGTAGGCTCCCGAGACTGTTGGGAGCCTGCAGGACTCTTAGTCCAGACTAAGGGAGGCCTTTGGCCAACCTGGGACATCTTCGCCACACTCTTCAGTGAGACCTTGGAAAATGCCTACAATCATGGAATTTATTGACTATCACCAAAAGGTACAAATGATGATGTCATCCTGTCAGTTACATCTGGTAAAAAGCAAAAATGCATTTCAGGAAAAATGGTTGACACTTCCAAAAAATGTAAGGTTTTTGTTGCCCTAATTTGTAATAGTACAGTTGCTGAAGACAAAGTCTATGAAAACCATTAATAATATTAATGTTACTTTTTAAAATATTTACTCTCTTTCCCAGGCACTTTAAGTTTTATGTTAACTCAGCTATTCAGTGTTATAACAAGACAGTAGTAAACTATAATTAGTGAAAGTAAGATGACTAAAATTAATTGGAGACAAGGAATTCCTTCACTGCATCACTCTGGACTCTATAGAAATGATTACATAAGGCTGGCCACACAGCCCAGCAGACTAAAGCACCTGCTTAGGCAGACTCAGTGACCAGGGTTCGATCCCCGGTGTGCTGTGCTGGCCCTGCCCCTGGTGTGTGCTGAGACAGTAATTGAGACTATTGAGACTGGGTGTGGTGGCACACACCTGTAATTTGGGCTTGGGAGGATGAAAACAGGAGAATCACTAGGAGTCCGATCTACATAGTGAGATTACATAGACCCTATACTAGATACATTAAAAAAAAAGAAATGTGTATATATACAGACATTTCTGTAACTTTTTAACTTATTTTATTTATTAAGATATAGGACCTGAAAATTATTTTTAAAATTTAAATATATGACCTTTGAAAATTCTAATCAAGTCATTTTCCCGAGTGGAAAATAATTATAAAGTGATTGAGAATTTTTGGACCAACATGTACCGCTTCATCAAAGTAAGCATTTTTGACGTTACAGTTGAACTCTGTTTTTACAAAACTAGTGATTTCAGTGATGTGGCCATGTTTATGGTCAAATCAGAAACCCAGAAATATGATAAGCCTCTATGTTAAAGGCTTGATATGAAACTGAGGGCCGTGACTCCATTCCAACACACATAAACACAGAGGCAGTGTTACCCGGGGAGCCACTAGTTCTAAATCATTTGCATAATACAAGTTTTCCCAAAGCAGGACATGAAAGGTTTTGAGAGTATAAAGCAGTATCAAGGAAACTTGATTATCTCACAGTCTTGGTGACCGGCCGTCTTGGTGAAGCAGCCTCCCCCTTCCAAATGCTATTAAATGTCTCTGTGCTCATGAGCTGACCAGCTTCCACATCCTCCTCATCTATTTCAGGAGAAGTTAGCTTCTTTTGCACTATTATGGAGGGAAATCCAGAGAGACGAGAAGGGTGGGGACTCTACATTGGATGTCTCCCTTCACTCACTGCACACCCCTGCATGCATTCAAAGTCAGCCCAAACCCCTCTTTAAGTGACTGTGAAGCCTGTTTCTATTTTGCAGAGCTAATCCAGGCCAGCTTAGGGATCATACTTCCCTAAACCACAGACCCGTATGCCCTGGTGAAAAGCCTTTGGTCACTGCTGGCAGGAAAGCTCACTCCGAGTTCACATCTGATCCAGTTGCCATGTCCTTCTGTGTGTGGCACTCTGCCCGCTCCTCAGCCATTGTGCCTGTGTGGGAGGGACGGGGCCCCTGCGTGCAAAGCTTCTCCTATTTCAGTACCATCTCTTCTGTGGAGAGGTCGGTCTCCAGGGAGGGCATGCCATATTGTTGCCATATGCTGTTCAATGGTGGCTGATATTTATTTGCCTAAAAGCAAATGCCTAACTGTCAGAGGATGGAGGCAGACAGATGAGATCCTGATGGCTACTAGTGAGCTGGTATATATTTCTGCAAGTACCTAAGAAATCCACAAAGACACTTCTTAT